GTGCATGGTATCCAGGGTGATCCGGAGTCGAGTTGCGTGTGAACTCTGAGTCGAACGTGTAAGTGAGGGCGCCCAGCGCCATAGCCAACTGAAGTAAACTTGGATTTGAGTTGAGTTGCAAGCTACCATATCTCCGAGTTTGAGTTGGGTGCACAGCGCCAAGTTATTCTCATCTGTTGCATGCATGTTTGAGTGTGAATTTGCAAGACTGATTTCACTCTGAGACTCTGAGTTTAATAAACAGTATTCATACTGGGTGTTGACTATCTTTGCTTCATTGTTCTCTGGATGTGATCTACTCGGCTTTCCTTTGTGTGACTGGTTGTGGGGACTCTGTGGAGGGAATTGCACTTTCACTGTCTTTCAGTGTAATACTATTGTGTCATATCACTGACTCATATGGCATGGACAAGGCTACCGCTGTGTTTCAGTCTCTCTGTGCGGTGTGATACTCCTTTCCTCTCCCTTTCCTTCTGTGTGTGTATGGGCATGCATGGGAGTCTATGTGAGCGAGTGTTGGCCTTCTGACAACAAGCAACCAGGTTCATCACAAATTGATGGTGGGGGGGGGAAGGGGGCATTACCCAGTTTTATCTTATTGGGGGGGGTACCATTTGGCCACATGAGCTGGGTGGATGAATGAATATCTTGAGTACAATTTTAAATGATGGACACCGGTGGGAAATGCTCAAAGATATCTATACTTGCTCAGTGCCTGAATGCTATAATATGTTATTATATTGTTGTTGGACCTCACCACACCGCTCACCAAATGTAGTTTATTTTTCAACGATCAGGAAAAAAAAAAAAAAGCTTCGGCCTATGTTTGTGGATACCCATTGTTGAGTGTTTCTTCGAGAGCACACCCACACACGTGTCTGCGCGCGCACACACACACACACAAGTGGACACACATTTCTCGCTTACACACTTTCCCTGTCTGTCTCCCACCCGTGCACACTCACTCACACACATACATGTCAACACAGAGTCACACTCACAAGTGCAGGCACAGAGACGCGCGCTCACCGCGACAGAGAGCATCGTGCACACATTTTCCGCTTGCTACACAGTCTCCCTCTGTGTCTCACACCCGTGCACACACACTCATACATGCTCACACCGCGTCCCACACATGTACGCATTCCGCAAGTGATGTGCTTCAGCGGCTTAAGAAGGTGCACACACATAACACAGTGGCGCAAGCATCTCGAATGGACGGGATCATTGGGAGTCATTTGCTGCTTGTCTCGCCTTTTGTCTCTCTGAGGGCCTCACACCACGTTCGAAATGTGAAAAAGACAAAAATGTGGCGGGTGCATCTGGCCATGTTCTAGCGGGAAGTTCGGTGTCATTTTGCACATTTCGAGAGTGGTGTGGCGATGCCTTGAGTCAGAGACAGAAGGATGATCGCAACAGGTTGTTCGAGTGCATGCTATGTTCTCAATGGGTTCACTGTGAAAGTAAAGCCTCACACATTAAAAAAAAAAGAAAAGGGGGGGGCAAGTTCTGTTGTGGCACAAAAGAGTTTGTTTCGAACACGCGGGCAACAAAAGCATTTTTAGTCGTGCGCTGAGTTTGGAAAGGGCAACAAACTCGCGCAAGGAGTTTGAAACGGGCAACAAACATGCGCTAGGAGTTTTGAAAAGGGCAACAAAATCACATGCGGCGCACGGCCATTTTCACCGATATCGCCCAGGCTTTTCAAAGTCCGCACCCGATTTTGTTGCCCGCACGTGTTTTTTTTGCACTTTCGAAACTGAAAGTGTGACACTGCCGGACTTGTTTCAAGAAAAAGAAAAGAAGTAAAGCCTTTGCATGTTGCTCCGCTCAGAGACAGCAGACAGACACAGAGGCAAACCCACAATTTGCAGTCGCTCAGCTCTGGGACAGCAGACAGGCACAGGGGCAAACCCACATTGAAAAGCAAGACACGACTACAAACAGGGACTCCGAGCCGAATGCCAAATCAAACAGGAAACTGCAACAAAGTGGGCATTCTCTATAATTCTGAGTCATCATGAATCATCCGAAGTTTGAGTTCTGGGCATGCTTGTATTGCTCTTGGGAGTGGTGGTTGGTTGTGGGGAAGATCTCAAGCCCATTTCCAGCCAGATAGCATTTGGTGCTATGGACAAGGGTGAGGGTGGCTGCGACGGGGATGATGACCGCAACGGTGATGATGACTGCAACGGGACGCCTTTGGCAAGGACGCGTTCCATCAGTGCTGGGGAGGAGGCAATTGTTAATGGTATTACTGACTGTTGTCTTTTCTCATCCATGGAAATAGCCAAGGACGTGGGGGAGGTTGATAATCCAGGTGTCTTATGGGGCCCTTCTCCTCCTCCTCCTCCTCCTCCTCCTCCTCCTCCTCCTGCTGCGGCTGCTGTTAGTGCTCCTGCTGTGACTCCTGTTGCTGCTGGTCCTGGGGTTGTGGAAGGCTGTGGAGATGGCGGGACACGAGTTGAAGGAGACGGATTGCTCGTGATGGGTCTGGGAGTTATGGGTATGGAGGGAGGTCCAGGAGTGGACAAGCGACGGATTGCTAGTGCTCCGCCACCAGCATGACTTTCTCCACCTCCTCCTCCTCCTCCCCCCGCTTCTCTCTTCTGAGGGGACGAGAGAGAGTAGAATGAACTAGAAACGCGAGGAGAGGGAAAGGCCGAAGAGTGATTGCTGACGTTGGAAGTAACGGAAGTCCGCGACTTTCGAAGAGTGCGTTCGTGTTTATGGCTTGGGATGAAGTTTCTGTGGAAGTAGTTGCCGGCTTTGGCGACATCAATGACACTTTGCTTGATGCCTTCGCACATGGACTCGAGGGCAAGAAGATGAAACGGCTCCTCGATATAGATGCCCACTTCTTCAATGAGGAACAATGCGGAGGCACTGAAGAAGGTGGAGGGGATGACACCCCACCCACACTCCTGCCACAGGCAAATGGGCAACAAGAAGTGCCAGATCACCAAGAATCGAGACGTCAACCGCGTGTAAGGGAGAGGGATAGGCGTCCTGAATATGCGTTCGCACCCGCCCATGTTGTCGATCAGACCGGTGATGTTGGGGTCCATCAGTGCCTTATGGATATCTGACGTCACGGACATGGAAACCATCTCGTTGAGCATGTGCATTACGAAGATGGGGCGATGTTTAGAACTTAGAATATCTTCCACCTCCCTTGGTGGCAAGAGCTCCCGCAGCTCTGCATTGGGATCCCCTTCCGACTGAGGCCGGAAATGGTACTTCATCACCACAGCGTACACCACAAGATGGTTCAATATCAACCTTGCCATCTCTCTACTCTCTTCCGTCGAGCTGTCCACCCATGCAACCACTTGCCGAGATAAATCCCTTGCACGATTCACAATGCCTCCCCACAACCTACGCGCCTCATCGAACCTCGAGTACGCTGCATTTGTCCGAAACACCAACAACAGAGCGAGCGCTGCTGCCGTCAACTGTAATGGCATCGCTGATGCCTGCAGGATCGGCATCCAGCTTGGCAGCACGCCATTCTTCACAAGCGCGTTGAATGTGGCGACGACGATAGCCACCGCCGTCGTCATGAACACCGGTCGGCCTATCCCAAGGACAACACGGGAGGTCACGATCGACTTGAGATTCTCGCAATGTCGCTTGCTCGAGCGGTGTTTCTTCCAGTCCGGGTGATCATAAACAGTACGTTTGCTTAGCTTCTCATTGAACACAGTTTGCTGATCCAGGAAGTCGTCGAAATAGGTCAGTGTGTGGACAGTTCGTGTCAAGCCCAAAAAATCATCTACACCATGTAAGCTGCCTTGGGCATCTTGTCCCTCTTGTGCCTCTTGCTGCAGTTGTGGATCTTCCTGCGGGAGTCTCGACTGCGCCAGGCCCTTCTTCTCCGCCACCTCCTCCGCCTCCTCCTCTTCTTCCCCTTTCTTCCATTTCCACACAGACCGAGATGGAGACAGCGACGTATTTCCTCCCAGTCCTCCACCCGCACCTCCGGCTGTCATCATTGCCACCATCACACAGGGGGACTCTTCACCCACCCACGGCAACAAGTTGGGCCTTAAACTGGTGCTCCTCCTCCTCATCCTCCTTCTCCACACTCCCCCACTGCTCTCACACTCACAACGCGCACCTAGTACCGGCGTTTGAATAAACTGCAGGGACGCACGACTGCTGTACAGATGATTGCACTGCTGCCACTTCAAACTCGCCTCCAGGGAATGCCACGCTATGTCCATCCTCAATTAAGTAATTTACCCCCGTTTCATTACCCCTCACTCCTCAACTTCTCCTGATAGACCCCCCCCCTCCCCCCCCTTCC